TCATCTGTGCTTGCTACTTGTCATGTTATTCCATCTTGACATTATAAATTCTTATTATTGAAAAAGTTACTATTATTATTGTTATTGTCAGTTCGGTAACATTTATTAAAAATAGATACCTTCTGCTTAAAGCCCCTGTCATACTAGGGTGGCGTTCTAACGGCGTCCAAAGAAAATTCAGAATGCAGAGGTGAGCGCAGTAAAACCCCTGTCACACTAGGGCGGCGTTCTCACGGCGCCCAAAGAAAATTCAGAACGCCGAGGTGAGCGCAGTAGGATCGCTAAAATCGCCTCATCATCGCCATATCATCGTAGTGGCATCGCATAGAACGCCGACCGATGGCGCGCATTTTGAGCATGGTCAAAACAAACGCCGTCACTCGGCGTTCTAAAAAGAGCGCTGTGGGATCGCAGTAAGGACGCCGTAGCAACTCAGTAACATCTCCTACATCTCGTGAAAACGTAGAAGGATCGCCGAATGAACGCTGTAGTTAGTCACGGCACTTGTACGGAGATTGTACTGCGTCTCTATCGCGTTTAAACTGCGTGTGTACGGCGCTTTTACGGAGCTTTATTTCTTCTAAAACGCTCTTACTGCGTCTCTACGGCAATGTCACGGTGACCATTGCGCACTCAAGACTGCGTTCATCTGAAATTGCAGAATACGGTACAATAGAATCCCCACTTAAGACCATACCAGAATTATTATCTAACCCCACTTTTGACACTACTGATATTGCAGTAAATACCTCTTCAGATAACAAGTTTTTTGTTATTCATCTGAATTCTCTAAAGCATGACACTTGAAACATTTTGTTAAAACTGTTATGATTAGAATATTGTATAAAGGTTAGACAATAATTTTCAGATTGGTTTAATGTTACTTTCTGCTCTTTTTTGTGACGAATTAATTTCTCAATTAATAGGTGAATTATATACATGAAACAAGACCTATTAAAACATTAAATATCATCTGATTAATTTTCTAATAAGGATAAATAAATATCATTAAATCAGTTTTAAGTAATATTTGAAGGTTATAATATAATTCTTTCATCATGTTTATACATAATAATTCAAATAGAGTGGTCATGAAATAGATATGCCTTGATAATTAATAATTTCCACAATTAAGACCACCCGCAATCAAGACCACTTTACTGCAGTCCCTTTTGTTGTCTTAATTGAGGGTTTTCACTGTATATATAGAACGTAAATATCTTTTTGACCATGTATCATGAACGGCAGCAAGCTAGAATACTGCTTGCTTGCATGCAGGTGCAGTAGTTACACGAATATTCAGAACTTGTATGTGAAGCGCGATTTCAGCTCAGTGTAAGCGCCCCAATAGCGCCGTGTGAGCGCTGTGAAAGCGCAGAAGAAGCGCAAACAATGCAGTAGAAGCGCAGACCAAACGCAGACAATCGCCAATGCAAACGCCGTAAGAACGCATTGCAACGCCGTGGAAGCTCTGTAGCAACGCCACGATTGCCGTGATGACGCCATGAAGACGCCGTGAAGTCTCCGTGTCATCAAAAATATCAGAGTTTTCTTGCGATCTCGCGGCGCTTTGAAAAATTTAACAACGCCGTGCAAACGCAGTGACAGCGCAGTCTAGTGTGACAGGGCCTTAAGATCGCAAACATCGCCGCAGCATCGCATAGAACACCGACCGACGCCGCGCATTTTGAGCATGCTCAAAACAAGCGCCGTCACTCGGCGCTCTGATAAGAGAGCTGTGGAATCGAAGTAAGGACGCCGTAGCAACTCAGTAGCATCTCCTACAACGGAACATGTGCGCCTGAAACCGAAAAAGGATCGCCGAATGAACGCCGTGGACGCCGTGGTTACCCACGGCTGTTGTATGGAGATTGTGCGGAGTCTGCACTGCGCTTTAACTGCGTATGTACGGCGCTTTAACGGAGCTTTATGATTTAAGCAGCGCAGTGTAAGCGCTGCAAGAGCGCCGTGTGAGCGCCGTGGAAGCGCAGTGGAAGCGCAAAGAACGAAGTAGAAGTGCAATCCGAACGCAGACAATCTCTAATTAAAACGCCATAAGAACGCATTACAACGCCATGGAAGCTCCGTAGCAACGCAATGATCGCCACGAGGATGCCATGAAGACGCCTTGAACTCTCCATGTCATAAAAAAATAGATTTTTTTGCGATATCGCGGCGCTTTGTTAAATTTAACAACGCCATGCAAACGCAGTGAAAGCGCAGTCTGGTGTGACAGGGCCTTTAGGAAATATCCTTGTTGATACACAAACTGATGATTATTGTTTTAAACTCCATTTTGCTATGTTACCTTATTTTGTAATGAAACCTGATTTGTCATGTTGTTATTTAAGAAATAAAGATGTTAAAATTTTATTGGTCAGTTTAAAACGAAACCATTTTTTAAAATATTGTAAAGATAGAAAAATTGGACGGTTAGAATTTGGATTTTTTAAGAGGTAACATTGTGGCTTTCAACTAGAAATAATTGTTACTGTTTTTTATGTCTGTTAATAACCTATGAATATTTTATGTACATTATTTGTGGTATTTCACTTAGAAGTAACATTAAATTATAAAACTGAACATTGTGTTTGTGATTCAATCCACCTCAGTAGGATTCTAAATTAGCGCATAATAAATACCAATGATGCAATTTTTTCAATTTCGCCCTTTTTGAGATTTCTCTGATTAATGGATTAAATAAAAACATTACATGAGTTTCTTGTGTGTTGGACTATCTTCATTATTGAATCATCTAGCATAGAAATAGAAAAATTGTATTTTTACACCTTTAATCACCTGTATGAGTTGACAAGGATTGAGATGTTTATTTGTAGGTCGCCAGTTTAAGTGTCTGGTGTACTTGGTAGTTGTATCTATAATACCTGCGATTCAAACCGAAAACTGGTATGTTTAAACTTTAAAGGCTTCTTCTTATGTCATTGCCTTTGATGAATATCTTTTTCTTAAATCTTTTAAACAGATAACCAGATTTTGCATATAATTAAGGAGTATTCTTTGCTCTTAAATTTTAAAAGAGTTCATCTACAGAAAAATAAATCTTGAATTTTGATTTCCCGATATAAGACTTATCTTCTGCAAATTGTAAATATGAAACCATTTAAAGTTACATTAAACAAATTTCATAAAAACAGAAATAGCGACATTCATTAATAAATTGGGTTTCACATCTACTCCAGATCTTATTTTGGTGTCCAGACAACCAAATTAAGTTTTTATAAGTATAAAATCTGCAACCTCATTGTGGCGAAATCGGAAGTACAATTTCTGTTTGCATGTGAAACTCCGCCTTCAGATCATCCGTGCAATCAATGTTAAATTAACAAACATGACTATAAGTAGCAGTCCTAATTTAACGGTATATTTCCGCATTGTAACGGGTGTTTTCATAAAATTTAATCTTTTTGTTTAGATGATTACTTTTTTCTGAACGCCAAACCTAGTGCTCCGTGAAGCTTAAACGGTGAAAGTGTGTTTGCACAAGAAATCTCTTATTTGCCGTGTCCGTATAGAAACTTTAACACTCTGACGTAGCGCATATACAAGCTGATTATATAGTCTTCATTTGCATGTTAAAATTCGTTTACGAACTTTAGTGTTACCGTGGGGTTTTCCGTTAAACATTGTAATTTATGAATAATATTTGATGATATTTACAACAATGCTGTTAAAAAAGATTAATAAAACTGTAGAATGCTTGGTTTTTAGGCCGACGGCAAAATATGTTTACATATTTATTAAATGCTTCTTTAAAATACTCAATAAAATTTAATTCGACTGACATGGATCCACTTTTATTTGAAGTCATAAGTACGTGTTTTCGTGCACTCGCTGTTTAATTTTTCTTCCTTTGTAAAGGGTTTTTCAACAAAGTGAATTGGTCTGCAACTGACACATTATCCATAATTGTTTCATAAATTGAAATAAAAACGTACAAAATGGATCACTTCGATATTTATGTTATAACAAGAGTTGTAACCGATTTATTATGACCATATTATATTATATTATATATCATAATGAATAATTAAATTTAGTTCTAGAAACATTATTATCTGCTACATGTATATATAAATATATAATATTTGATCATGTAACTCACACTGACCACATCCATATATAATTGTCTCGTAATTTATCATAACCTATAAAATTTGATACTATCAATATTAATTCGTGATATTTACGAACCTTCCACTATGGACCAATTCAGTTTAAAGAACATATTAAGCCATTGTTATGTTAGTATTGTTGTTATACAATGTGTGTATTCTAAAACATTTTAACTACTTTATAAGCGCTTAACGTCTTGTCTTGAAATTCTATCGGCTTTTTTCTAATCAAATGTGTTTCTATAGGTATGGTTATGTGTTTGCTCCACGTAACATCATTGCGGGTTCTGAATATGTAACAACTGTTGACATTTTTAACTTCTTGGAGGAATATGCAGGAACATTTTACGTGTCGGTTTCTCTAAAAAGTTATACCTACTCATCAAGAGCATTAGTTGTTATCAAGAATGAAACGAAAGTCATGTCTGTCGGTAATAATATCATAATTCTTGATTTTCTTTGATTTAAACCAGAGTAATTTTATGATTGTCGTTGTTTTCTTTTAGCAAAACACATACTGAAAATTAAATACAAATATTTTATTTGAAGATCCTGTAAGGATGTTACCACACTTAAGTGATATTTTATATATATAATATGTTTATAATTCTTCTTCTAAAAACAAACATCCAAGAATAAGTTAAATATGTACTGCAAATGTTTACACTCATATAATGTCATCATCAAAATACAAGCATTCATTACTAATTGAGAAATTTGGCTTAGACTTTATAGAACATAAACTTCTAATTACCTCCCTTTATTTACATGAAATGTAAATTCGGAAATATCTTTAAAAATAACGCATTTTGGAACTTACAATATTGATAACTCTTCATTTGATCATCATATCTATGATATAATATCATAAAAAATGAGTTACCAGAACTTTTAATATAAACCATGAAACTAAAATATAACATTGGAACTTTTCTAAACCAATAATGCTATTATTTATATTCAGGCAATCCAAGAGATAATTTTGTGATACAGGTGAGTGCTCAGTTAGATTTGCCAACTTAAAATATCCAAATTAAAGCCTTAGTTGATTTCCGTTTGGTGATAATGACCTAAAAATAGATTATGTAAATGATATAGGCATACATTCTGATAAGCTTATGTGTAAAGAACAGGGGTAGTCTAGTAAATTCACACAAAAAGCATAAATAATGTTTAATCTTTAAAAATTATAACAAATTCTTTACGAGACAGTCGATGCAATTATAACAAATTCTTTACGAGACAGTCGATGCCGAAAATATAATAAGAGTACTATGAATAACATTAAGGCACATTTTTCTTTCTAAAAAATATTATATTTATCAAGTTCAATTAGACACTATTTATTAGATTTTAAGAGCATAACGATAATGAATAAAACAAGGTATTCGTACAGGTGATATAACCTACATGATAGTTACAGGAGATAAATTGAACAAATTCATGTTGGAATATTCTTTCTTTAATGATATTGACAGATTCCGAGTAGTCTTACAGTTATTACCGGTACAACCTACAGAATATATATCGATGTGTCTTCACCAAATAACCTAAAGTATGGCGAAACAATCGTTAATGTTTATCTACGAAGTCAAGCGAGGGATTCCATTCTTGTTCAAACTGACAAAGGAGTGTATAAGGCAGGGCAGTCGGGTATAGCATATAGTCTCTATTTACTTTAAAATTTGTTTATTTTATCAAATATATATGTAAAATTATAATTGTAAATATATTTATATAGAATTTCATATTGAAAAAACTAATTGACTCATCTATTCAGTAAATCTCTTTTTGTAACAAATAAATGGTTGATTGAATTTTAGTTTCTAAAGGAAAATATAATATCATAAATGTCCGCTTTTAGTTCAGTTTAGAGTGATGATTGTCAACCGGAAAAGAGAGCTGGAAGTGAGACCAATGACAATCGATATTCTTGTAAGTATATTTTTTTTTCATTTTTTACAAAAAAATCACACCAAATTTATTTACTAAGAACCACGTACATTGTTTTCCAAGCTCGTCCAAAATGCCCTTGTGTTGTACAGTAAAATGTTCAATTACATTATATAATGGCAAGTCCAGAAATATCTTGAATTTTATCTTTCGTCTTATAGTAATCATATTGTTTGCTTAAATTCATATTTTTGTACAGTTCCATGTTTCATCAGTTTAATCGTTAAATATTATTGATCAATTAGCTGTAGACCAGTCCGTTTCAGATATCAATGGTAACGCCAAACCGTGGCATAACAAAATTATACACCTTATTTCATGTTTAGTCCTCTATTGGTTTAGCCGTTAATTTAGCTCAGATATCGTTATTGTGTGTTTTATTTACTTTTTTACAGATTTGATTTACACTAGAACATAAGAACCCTTTGACAAAACCCGTATGTTGAATAATTCAAATATGACCTTTGCCTTTAATCTGTCAAATCATTTGAATTATTCTAATATGACCTTGTCCTTTAATTGATCTTGACATCTAGGTCAAAATATTGAAATTTGCCTAAATTGTCATAACTCTGTTTTCTTTTTACATATTTGTTTTATATATGGAAGACAAAACACGAACACATGTGACTAAAATGACATGCTGAATGATTCAAATTGAAACTTTAAACGACCTTGACCTATAAATGACATAGACTGTTAAGGTCAAAGTACACTTTAGTTTGCTTTAATTGTCGTTACTTTGTTATCGATTTATGGATTTTATCCAATCTTTTAAAAATGGATACTTGTAAAAGAGCTGACATAATGATAAGATTAATTTAAATGTGACTTTGACCTTTGAATACTCCTGCTCAGTTGTGATTGAATTTAGAAATAAGTAATAACAAAATTGACCTTGCTAAGTGATGTTTTTCTTTCTTTCTTTTTTTCTGGTTATTTCTTTCTTTTTTCTGGTTGTCATGACAACATTAGACTTAAAATATTGCAAAAAAGCAACAGCAACTCATGAATTATCTTTATATGAAACCGAATGGATCTGCTTTGTACCACAAATCATCATAAGTCACATAAGTACCCGATTCAGATCTCAGAAAAGAGAAGTTATGGCAGTTAAGGTTCAACAGGTGACTTTAATACCTGTGTCTATGTCTTACCATCCTCATCACTTTGAATCATAAGCAATGGCTTCAAGCTTCTCTTACACCATAAATACTGCAATATATATTTTATTTCAACAACAATTGGTTGTTTTTTATATTGTCTGTTGTATCCTTATCAGCGGAGAAACTATAAACAATACGATGATACAAACAACCCCTGAAAGTTTACCTAAATGTTCATTCATGTCTTCCACAATTGTTTTAAATGAAAGGCCATAGCACTTCAAAATGACATACTACATTTGGGGTTCTTTTAGGTAGGGAATGGTTTATTGCTAGCAACACTTTGATAATTTCCTGTTGAACTATTCAATTTCAACAGAACGACGCGTAAAATCAAAATTACTCCATACTTACATTTATATAATTTAAGCATTGGGCTACTTTATAAAAAGTTTTCAACGGTCTATAGTTGCAACATTTATCTAGTTTTAATGTCATTATCAAATTTGGGTGCCCATCATTTTTTTCATTACATAAAAAAGTCTGAAAGTTAATATGATAAAAAAACACAATGTACGTACGCCTGTTTTAAGTGGGATTTTTACGCCCTCTGTCTGTGGCAATCTTTTTTTTTTTCGAGGAAGTATCTTCGTGTATTTTATTGTCATTGGAAATTATTGTACGATTGTTATCACAATTAATTTATAATTAAATGTTTGTGTTTATGAAATACCTGATGCATGATTTTAATTATCAATTACAATGATCAAATCGAAGGACGGAGATAAAACTCGCATAAGGAGATGGGCCAATGTAAGTGACAATAGTGGCGTATTTGTTGGAAAAATGGAAATGTCTGAATACCCTGTGCTTGGAACATGGACTATCAATGTAAAAAGTGAGGTATACAATAATGTTACTCTATAGTTGGTTCTTTTTTCTTCTTTTTTTTGTTTGGTTCAGAGATATGGAGAGTTCTTGGTTACCATATATTTGACAAATAACATCACATTCTGTAAGTTTTTTAAGTTGTAGAAAAGTACATCCTGAACTTTGTAACACTCAATGAATTTAATAGAATTATTTTCATAGTCTTGTATCAAGGAAGAACATTAATATGTTGATTAAGGTCAAATATAGATACTATATTGATAGTTCAAGATGACCTCCTTAGAATTTTATACAATAATTGTATGAATATCACAGAAACAAGGTCTATATATTAGGACATGCACCGAAATATTCATAGCATAACTGTTTAATTATATGACCAAAATAAAATTCTTGGATAAGTTTTCAGAGTTGCTAATAAGCCTAAAATAAATGGACGGATTAATTTCAGGATTCATGTCTCTAAAGTGTGTAAATAATCCTAAAATTCGAAGTAATACGCCCTTTGAATCTCCATTGTATTTTTTTGCAGAACGAACGATGATTTAATCTGTAATTTACGCATGTTATTCATTTCATGTAAAGATGTTTTGATTGGTCAGCTGAAACATACCCCCAAAAGCCATTATATAGCTTTGCAATGATTGGTTTCAAATTTTTAGCGCCACCCTAAGTAAAGTTGTTTGTTTGTTGATGACAATATTATATTACTAACATTTAAATGTCATTCGTAACTGACTAGCCATCGAAATATGTAAAATTGTTTTTCATATGGGTTAATAAAAACATTTAAGAATAATATAACCTAAACAAGAATATTTAAACAGCGTCCTAGGGGTGTAAACTTCATTATTGATATAAGGATGAATTTTGAAAACTACTGATCTTGATATTGTAGAAAATATTTAATTTCATTCGTTCTTATGCATTGGAAAAAAATGACACATGAAACTATATTGAGCTAGAAGAAAATTTAAATTTTGATCTGAAAAGGACTATTAAAGGAGTACCATATTCATGTCATCTATGATAAGTATACACATCTCAAAATTAATTTGTTCTGTTATTTAGAAATACGTACAAGAAATAAAAACAATATGCTATGCTATGTACAATATTATGTTTTCCATTTTGTTTGCATTAATTAAATATTTTATTTCTTAAACATATGACTGCCGAATTGCAAACTTTGATTCGACTTGTTTTTGTTTTGTTTGTTAATTTTTTTTAGGGGAAGAGGGTGTTGTTGGGTTTTTTTTTGTAATTATCTTTATTTTTTGCAGGGTCTTTCCAAGAGCCAAGAGTTTGATGTCAAGGAATACGGTTAGATTTCCTTCACCTGTTTCATATAATATATTATATCGGTTAACCGTAGTCGTTATCATTACATTGTAATACTTTTATCTGTAAAATTCCTTTGTACTCATTACATTGTAAGTCTAAAATACAGCGTTTAAGCAAAATTGCTTTGAAAACCTCTTTTATAGATTTATTCTAATTTTAAATTTGATCGTTGAATTTTAAATTCATTTTTGTGCTATACTAAAAGATATAATTATTACATTACGTTTAATTGTCATAATGTTTTAAACTGTAACAATATGCGTATTTATTGCAGAATTACCAAAGTTTGATATAACTGTTGAGATGCCACAAATTATCTCGTCCAATGACATAAATTTAGAAGGAAACGTATCCTCAAAGTACGAAAGTCCAACAAATTATTTATTTGATATAAGGACGTTTTGTCTTTTCTTTAACCACGTTAAAAGTCCGTTTATTTACATTTTCATTTTTACATAATACATTCATTTTACATTTTTCAATTAATTCTTTTACAAAACATACATTACAAACTAATATACATATGTTGTTGTAGACATTTTTAAATAATTTCAAAAGGGCTTAAACGTAAATATCTTTAAGAAAAAGTCAAGAAAAAGGATATTATATTTTGTTATTTTTGAATCACTTTGAATTAAAACTAAACGTTCTTAAATTAAATAAAAAGGAAATGTTTTTAAAAGTTATGACTGGTCATTTAATCGTTCGATGTTTGTTGATGATTACGTACGATAATGTTTTCTGAAAATTGAAATGCTTTAGGTACACATTTGGAAAAGGTGTCACTGGGAGTTTAGAGTTCACATTGTCGTACCTATCTAGAGCACTTACTAAAATATACAAGGTAAAGTTTAGTGTGTAAGGTTTTAAATTTTGTTCATAATCAAACAACTGTCTTACAGAATACAGAAAATATCTTAAGGTCCTTCTGTTTTTACTGATAAAACAAAAATCATTATCTTTTATAACGTGAAATAGGTAAAACAATAGTTGAAATAAGTATGTCCGGTAGTATGGCAACTCCAATTTGATAAGTGTAATTATAAAGTACATGTATTCAATGTGAGTAAACAGGGAATCTGTAATCTAGCAGTAAACGTGTTCCTTTTCAACCACGGACACTAATACTGAGATTGTTTCCAATAATTATCTATATTTCTTTATGATATCGACATTAAATAAAGAATAGTTTAATTTCAATATCTTTATCCTGCTAATACGACCGTGTCTGAAATAATGCACGGAGGGGCACCTGAGATCTTCATTCGCAAGTAAAGCTGAAAAATCGCTATATAACCTGTACTGTGTTTGTGCGACTGAAGTTTGCTTCTTTAAAAAGAAGTATGCGAGAGGTCTTATGGCAGCTGTCGAAGATTTGTTTCATTCGTAGATATTTTTGCAAAAAAGGCACAATGAATGTTTATAAATTACAATTATTTAACAAAATAGAATTTATTATATATATTGAATATAGTATCATAATGAAAGTTTGTTTTACACTTCATTTTTTTTAATGTTTTGAAAGATTATATGCCCGAGAAATAGACATTTTCTTGGCGCATTAGGGATATTTTTCTACAAAGGAAACAATTTTTTATATGTAATCAAACTAACTTTAAAAATAAATGATATATCTTAAAAGTAGTATCAAAATAAAACTTTCTTGTAAAATTAAATAATCAAATTTTCGAGTGATGTTTTGAAAAGTACATATGTATATGAAAACATTTCTTCTGCAACAGAGATTTTCAAAAACAAGCATAAAGTACATTGTACTTCGAGTAATGCTTTGAAAAGTACATATGTATATGAAAACATTTCTTCTGCAAAAAAAGCATGCACGTTACAATTTTTGTAGACTGGTTCTTATGATTTAAGCCTGAAAATGCGATACATTAGCTTCAATTTGATACGCAAAAAAGGATGCCGCCAGCAATCATTCTCAACACTATGGAGAGGTCATCAAAAAGGATATGCAACTAATGATTTAAGATAATGAAAGTATTGTTAGAGAACATATTATAATATAACTTGTTTATTTGATTGGAAAAAAAATAAAATATTAACAATCCCCGTTTTATAGCAACCGTTGTCACAATTGTGCATTATTTATTTATTTTTCAGTTAGACAATGGTGAAGTTAATATAAAAATACCTACATCTGATATATATGAAGTTCTCCGTTTCAGTCTATCTTCCTATTACAGGTCTGTCCAATTCTACTTGTAAAACAAATATACATATCAATTATGAAATATAATGTGTTTACGAATAATTGTAACTAAAATTAAAATTACATGTTTCGTATCTAAATCAAAGAGTCTAAAAAAACAAATTGATAAATAATGTATGTAGTTTCACTAATTGAAATGAAATATCTCAAAATTATTAAAACATTTCGTTACGTATTTTAAACAGTATATACACAGTACAAGCAACAGCTACTGTTACAGAAGATATCACAGGTAGCACAGGAGAAGATAGTACAGACATTAAGTTCACGAAGTTTAATGTAGATTTAAAACTAGACAATCCAACTGCTTTCCTCCCAGGCCAACCGTTCGAAATAAAGGTATCACAATCTCACTCAAATCATGCATCTATAATTCAGCTTATAAAATAGGTCTGACATGTTTTTCCTACATATTGGAAATGTAAATGTAATCAATAAACTATATATTAATCTGTGTAACTGCATACCGTCTTATCTATCTCTGTAATTGTATAGCCTATTATTCCATGTGTGCTTTGATACTGTTTCTACATTCAGGGTCGGGTATTAAACAAGCTTGGATCTGCATATGATGGGGAGGCCTCTGATTTTTACATCATTCGATTAACAGTAGAATATAAAAGTCAGGGTTCATACACGCTTAACAAATGGATAAGTGATACCCATTTACCTATAGACAGTAAAAACCAATTCGGCTTCTCGTTAGATGGAAACTTAATTACAAATCAAACAACTTATATAAAAGTGAAGGTAGGTCTGTTTAATTAAGTTTAAAAAGTGTGAAAATAATAATCATTTTGTGGGATGTTTTGTTAAAATTTTCTTTCGATATTATGCATTCAGGGTGTTCAATCATATATATTGAACAAACAACCTAAAGTATAACAAACAAATAAAAAACAATATGCTGGAATTTTTACTCACTTTGTCGGTCTTTGAAAACTGGTGTAAATTACTGCTTGTGACACTCTTGGTAATTCTTATTCAAAACACATTTGACAATAATTGTAATACTTAATGAGACCAAGTTATACGCATAATACAAATCATCCTTATTCATTTAAAAATACACAGTGACAAGTTTCCGATTGATTTGGATAAAGACTTCATTGATTTTAAAAGGTATTAAGATATTGTATTTATCTCTATATGTCCATTTTTACTTATTTTAGACCCAGCTTCTCACGAGAGCGTCTGGAGTATATATTAGAACACTTTATACACATGCATATCCGACTAAATCTGCAGATGGAAGTATGCTGTATATAAAACAGATGTCAGGCACAAATCCTTTGGTAAGTTATTCATTTAATATAAAATTCTGGAAACAAAGTGATCCCTCGGAGGCATTAATCACAACAAAATTACAAGAGAATTGCAGATTCGGTTTGGTTGAGTCTGTACATGAGGGATAATTCATACATGCAACATATCTCAAGTCCCCTAGCACCGGCTTGAGCGGTACTCAATTATCAACACTCAATAGTGCTGGCATCAATGATCCCGAATGACCAGAAAAATATAACAACACTGAAGTGAAGTACGGGGCAACTTTTTACAGATGCCACATAGCACTTGACACCCGCTGTTGTGAAGTATAAAAATCTGGAAACAAATAAAACAGATTAAAGATATTAGTAATAATCCTCAGTCAATTTAAATGGTTTACTATCAACATATTTTGTGTACATGTATTCTAGGTTGCTTTACTAACTTTATGCAGTCAACAGTTTTATTCTCTACGTAAGACTTATATTTTTTATATTACAAACAGAATGTTGGAGACAGGGCAACATATAGAGTAAGCATGACTGGACCTGGAACAGAAAAAGCAACATACAAAGTAAGTAATTCCTGATCAAAATGCAGAATACCCAGTGATAAGTCTTTAAATATCAATAATAAGTTTACTTTGAAGCCTTCCCTGGAAAATTCAAGAAATTGATACAATAAAACAATGTATGTCTTGCTGCTTTTGTCCAAATATGTACAATTTTTTAAAAAGTTCAAGTTAGCGAATTTTTGTTGTAACAAATATATAAATTAAATTACTGTGTGAAAGGTTCTAACTCATTAATATACTTGAAAAAGCATGACTATTGCTAGTTTGCTTATATGGTATCAAATTAATGAACACAATCACTATAATCTTTGCCATCTTCATTAAGTATATTGGGTCAGCTAATCCGATGCGGTCTCACCACTTGTCCCTCTGACACAGAATGCTACGCGTAAATGGTTTTTATTTATTTGGTTTGTTCTACAGCCTTGCAGTAGGTTCCTGTTGCTTAGCCTTGCAGGCCATTTTAAAGGCACAATATATCTCAGTTTGTTTTTGAAATGTCAAACATATGTTTAATAATGTAATAATAATGGATTAAGAGCATGTTAGGTATTTTACAAGCGCAAACAAGTAGCGCTGGACATGAGGTATGCGTTGAAAGGCAGCCAATTGTAAATAAAGTAGTATTTTTACTTCCATACAAGACACTAATCACTATAACTATACCAATTGACAACTTTACTTCGTCAAATGCTTCTAACAAAATGTTGACAAAATAAGTTTTATCTATAACTTTACCTTTAGTGATGTTACTGAAAAAGAAAGAAGAGAACACTCGGGTGCAATTAAAGAATTAATAAATATTGAAAGATGCAGTCTTGATTTTATTTATTTTATAAGATAATAGAAATACTTGCCATTTTCAACTCATGAAAACTTATGCATGTTAACAATTAAGAATGTCAGGAAAGGATATTGTTGTTGTAGGTAATGTCAAAAGGTGTGGTTATAAAAAGTGGTCCCTGGTTTCTAATTTCGGAAGACAGGCCGTATGATTTTGATGTACAAGCAACGTCAAGTATGATTCCTTCAATCGCGGTGTTGTGTTGGTTTACTCTTCCAAATGATCGTATAAAAACTGAGGGTTCGCGTGACAATGTTGCGGCCAGTGGTGTGACTACAGCAGTTAAAGACAATGCCTTGGATAAGGTATAAATTAACATTTCTATGTTATTTGCATGGTTTGACATACATCTCAAATTTACATCTTCATTATAAATTAACTTCTCGAAATCTCCATGTTTGCCTTCATTTCAAACTGCCTTAAATATTTCTTCTCCTATGATATGTTTCTCTAGTGATTAAATTACTTAAATTCAGACACTGTGTTTTTAAACGAAATTTGTTTAAAATAATAAAATGATAGATAATATGAAGAAGGTAATCGTAAATATATTCTTGCTCTGCAATTTGTTTCACTATCAAGCCAAACCAGACACATCGGATGAAGCTCTCGATTACTGAAGTGCATTTCTTTGCATGAATCTAAGAATTTAAAATTTAATGACAGAAACAGACAAACTTATCTTAATGCACTGGCACTTAGCGACAAGTTATATCAAAATAATTTAACAAACCTAATTAGAGTCTAAATTCAAAGGAAAAATAAAAATCAAACGGCAAACAATTTAATTATAAAGATAGATCACTTATAAATCACTGTAACTAAACGCAAATGAATGACAGTTTGGCTTTCCATTGTATGTTCTAGTAATTCATTTGTAAGAATATAATCGATTCTACTTGTAACAAGAAAGAATATATATGTACTAGAATATATATGTACTACTGGCAAAATTTACAAAAAAATAGATAAATCTGGCGTAATCTTAAGGGTTCAAATATGTAGTTTTGACTGCAACTAAGGAAAACATTTAATTTAACCCATTTAAATAATGCAATAGGTATTTGTTTTGAATATTTGCACACTGCCAGGAAACTAGCATTGCGTTTGATCAGGAAACACAACGACCGGGAACCGACGCAAGAATAGACCTTATGTCAACACCAAGATCCTCATTTTACGTCCTTGCTGTAGATAAAAGTATTCTTATTTTAGACGAGGGAAACGACATAACAGAGGTATCATTGTCAATAACATGTATTTTTTATTTAAAATAATGTATGATAGAGTTAATCGTATAATATAAATTAAATTGAATTATGATGATAACAAGCACATATTCACTTTAACTACAATAGATTACAGTAATAACTAACTTACACTAGCTCTAGCCTTATCAGTTTAGATGTGCCCTTTATTGATTTAATCAGTTTAAATCAAGCATTGCAACAGTTTACAATATGTTATGATTATGACAAAGCAATAGTTTAAGAAAAGCTTTTTATGTTTTGGTAAGCTTAAACATTTGACATTATGTGCATGTGTTTGTAATGAAATTGCAAAGCGATATAAAGAACGATTTGTTATAAAATGTTGTTTTTTTCTGGAAGAGATTAAAAACAAGCAGCATCTGTATTTGATATATCACGATGTTGTCTTGAAATGATTTTTTTAGCGTTTTTTTGTTTTATTTTTTATGTTTATCTATTTCAAAGCGATTGGAATTTTATGTATCTACTTTTGTTTATATTTAAGAATTGCTCTTTTGATAAAATGTATCCAGCTTGTATTTCAACCGGACATTCAACACATACGCCATGAATAACATATTCAGTTTTCTCTCTCTCTCAATGTAACATTTGATATAATGTTTTACACATGTTATATTATTTATCAATATAATATTGATATATATTAAATTTATAATAGTTTCATTATTTCAAAAGATACACTTATCTTATACGAATCACATCCTTAATTTACTAATCAGAACATACGTGTTTGCCTTTTGTTACAGGCAGTATTACCAAGTTTGTATGATCCTCTGTTGACCAACATTAAGTTTAGCAGTAGTAGGTCTGCCTACGAATTTCTAAGTTTGTTGTAAGTTTGTTGTATAGTTACTTTGTTGTATAGTTACTTTGTTGTATAGTTACTGAATAAGGCATCTGAAAATGTAAATGAGTATCAAAAATATAAATTAAATATGTCTCTCATGATAACATATTTAAAACTGATGAACAAAATTTTTTCAATAAAAAATATATACAGTAATATATTTGAAAATCTGTTTCAGCATGAGTTTCAATTGGTTTACATTAAATGAATTAAAATCATATTTTTGCAGAAAAGCATTTTATATTTTGTAAAATTTCTAGAATGGTGGATTAGTTATGCAAGTGTTAAGACTTCAATATTCATTTAGTTCTACCACTACTTCTTCAAGATTTTCTACAAGTTCTCCTACAAGTTCTTCTACCAATCCTGAAGCTATGAGTTAGTATCCAAAATATTTTCACTTAATAAAATAAAATATATAAGTTATATCCCTCTCGAAGATAATTGTAGCAGGTAACTTTGCTCTGCTAGTTAACATTAGTAAAAACACTGAAAAAATACAGCCTGAAATTCAATGAAGATAAAATTATCAATTTAGCATTTAGAAAGCTTATCTTTAATTGTATTTACTCATGACATTTTTTAATTTGAGCACTGTTTATTTGATACCAAATTATAATCATTATTTTTATCTTATAGGCAGCGTAGCACTTTCTGGATTACAATTCACAGGATCTCAATTTTCTAGTAGTTCTTTAGCTGAATTAACTACCACCACGACAGTCGAACCGAAATCAACTATGCGATCTAAACTTGAAACTGTAAGAAAGAAATTTCCGGACACATGGTTATTTCTCAATGTTTCAGCCGAGTATGTAAAATCATGTAACATGTTGTTTTTTTCTACACAAGGTTCCAAAGGTCGTTTGATTTAAAGTCATTGCTTTACAAATGCTCCACACTTCTATATTCTTGCTGTTTTGTACTTTTAAATGTGATTTCCTGTGTTCAAAGTTTTCCTACCGTTTCGATTTTCTTCATCTGGAGTCAAATACAACAGACATAAAAAATTTAAATAAGCATTACATAGAAAAAGACAAATATTTTAATACATGTACAAGACTATGTTCATTTTATGTTTGATTAACTGTTCCGTTAAAAATCGACATAATATTTTATATTTTATATTTCTCAAAACAATCAGCTCAAATGGTAAAGCAAGTATTGTGAAGAAGGTACCTGATACAATAACCACGTGGGTTGCAAGCTGTTTTACAGTCAGTGCTGAATCAAAAATAAGTGTAGCCACAAAAAATGCTGAAGTACGTTGTATTTTATTTAAGGCACACTAAACCTCGGAGGATAATATGACTTCTTCTATGTTTTATCAATAAATCACGTGACATTTCAAACATGAAAAACACAGATTAAAATGTTGAATAATTTGTCATAAAATAAGCAAAACGTTGTTTTGTTTTCACCACAATCAATTTTCACTGTAACTTTTCTTGTGGTCGACATGTCCAAAGATCAAAAGATGATTCAGCTTTATGACCATTGATTTCCATTTCGGAACCTGTAATATATATTTTAAAATAAACATTTGAGACAAAAAGCATTTTTGGCGTGTAATATTCCCTTAAATATGAACATATTAATATGAAAATTACACAACTTTATCCATGAGTTTGAGCATACTATAATATTGTATTAGACCCAAAAAGAAAAGTATATGATATTGCTAGCACTCTTCATACGTTTTTATTTCAGTATTGAATGCACCATGATTGAAATACAATTACACTGTTATTTGAAATTAATTAAAATATGCATTCTGTAAATTTAGTACAATGTAGTACATTTGTTATAATAATGATAGAATGGCTTTTGTCAGCTAGCTACTACCTAATAATCATTTGTATAACCTATCAAACATTATCATTAAAGAGCGTGCATTGTATTAAAGTATCGCATAACTTGATTAATTGAAAAACATGAAAAGTTTGAAACATAAAAAGTTTGAAAACGAACAGTTCATTACGAAAATTTGTTAATTTCAGCTGGAAGTATTTCTGCCATTTTTTATCAGTTTGCAGTTACCATTTTCTGTGATAAGAAACGAGCAAGTGGTGCTGCAGGCAAACATTTTTAATTATCATACTAAAGACCTCTATGTACGTATTTGTGCTTTTTATGTCTTTATACTCTTAAATTCCATAAACATAATGATGTATGAGATAAAATTCTGCAGAATCGAAAAAGAAGATATATAGAGGATTTTTTTTGACTGAACAAAGGTTATTTAAAAAGATTAACTCAAACGATTGTCTATATTTAAAACTTTTATTTATAAAAAAATATTTCTTGATATATGAACAATTCAATAATGTATGCAAGACCCTATGTAAGTGCTATCAACTGACCATTCCCTGAAATACGGGTTCGGAATTAAGAACAGGAATGGCATGTTTATTGCATTGTTGATTATGGCATTTTTGGATATCATTGATTACAAATATCTCACCAAGTTAATGATTACAATAATCTGCGGGTATTAACAGAGATACTACGGAACTCGGAAAATGTTTGTTTTCTCTATAAAATACTGGGGTACAAAGTTACAACTTTTAAAATAGATCTTTAATAAGCGCAATCCATCACTATAGCATAAACAAAAGATATTGTACGATTGTGAAGCTAAGCTAAGCTTGTCTGTGGTTTTTACCCCCGATAAGATGCCAAAATCACATTTCTGAGTTCCGGATAACATTTATTTCATTAATATAGACGAAACTGAAGGTATGATAAACAAGTCAGAACTGAATATTGGGTACTCGTAGCTCTTTCTTCCATTACAGTTCCTATGTTTCATTCGTGAAATAAGTTATTTACATGTGAATCTACAAAGAAATATACATAGAGGTATTTTTTTAAAAGAAATCAGTGCATAAACATGTTCACGTTATATATTTCCATTTTTCAGGTGATGGTCACGTTAAAGAAAAGTTCTCAGTTTCGTGGCCTTGCGGTCGTGAAACGCGGCAAACGAACGGTTTTAGAAGAACGATGTGGAAGTGTTGTATTGTGTATTTTTGTACGACAATATTTATTCACACCCTTATTTTTTATTTAATTATGAAAATAACAAATACTGTTTATTTAAAATAAAGGCACGTTATTCTTTAAAAAATGATTTAGTGTAAGATGCTTTTTTATGAAGAAATTTGCGGTAAATGCCATATAATATGTAATAAAAGTAGCAAAATGTAAACAAAGTAGTATTTTGACTTCGTACAAAATACTTAATCACTCTAACTTTACTAATTTCCAAAAAGCAACAGAAGATAAAGAGTGTTCAGAAGATTTGCCTATGAGTAGAGATTTGGTTACTATAACATGAAATAAAAAATAAAAAAACTTTTGAAAAATAAAAAGCTTTTCTGGGGCATAAGGACTTTAAAGAAATTGTAATATGCAATAAAGGCATGAAAACACTTAAACATGAAGCATATTGATGAAATATTTGAAAAAGCAATAATGAGATCAACAAATTATGGTCATTTTTCAGGCAAAAGCTGGTCGAGGAACAGCCGCCTTTTTTCCAATAATTCCAACGGTTATTGGGGAAATAAAGATAACCATTACAGCCACATCATCAGTATTTCAAGATACTGTTATCAAAACTCTAAGAGTAGAGGTACGTTATTAAAAGCGATAACTTATGTTTATTAATGTTTACTAATTTACTTAAATGTATAATGCGTTTTAAGACAGTTGAGGCATAGTGTCATAAGAGGGTGTATATTTTTAGAAATCAGTTCTTTACACATGCTGCAATTACATATACTAGTAATGGTAGTAGTGCAAAACAGCAAAAGAAACAAAACTGAATACTTATCAAAACTTCTGTTTTAGAGTGAAGGGGCACCGAGAGGCATTGCATTCCCAATATTCATAGATTTGTCAGAGAAAACAACGTTCGAAACACGTTTAGATTTAAACTATCCACCCAACACAGTCGAGGGCTCACAAAGAATGAGGATCTCTTTGATAGGCAAGAATTTATTTTATCTGAATCATGAATAAATACGCTCTTATGAAGAAACTGTTTACAACATGCAATACATGCAGCAGCTAAAGCGCCCTTTTCTGTATTCTTTATATTTAAGGTGACATAATGGGCCCAACATTAGATGGCTTAGAAAGACTTGTAATAATGCCATACGGATGTGGGGAACAAAATATGATCAGTACAGCTCCTTCTGTATTTGTGTACAGATATCTATTGTCAGTAGGGAAGCTCACAAATGAGATAAAGGAAAAGGCTGAAAATTTCATGAGAAAGGGTATGAAATAATTAAGTTTTACATATAACTTATATATTACTGTGTTAAAAATAGTTTATTGTATCTGGTTTTTATCATAATAACTAAACCAGCTAATAGTAAATATATTCCATGTGATTTTCACGCAACACCGGGTCTCGCAAGATCTCAAACATAAATAAAAAGTATTATTTCTATTAAAATACAGCTGCGACAGTTAAAATTTTGACATTTAAAACCTATTCTCACACAAAGTTGATCATTTCCGCGGCCACAAAAGGTATTATCGGAGGTGCCAAATTAATTACTGGACTTCGGCTTATTATGGTAAAAATGGTGTCGAATTATTCTCACTTTCCTCGGAGCGTGCTCGTCGCTGAGAAGGCACAGAGAAGACTTGGGTTGGCGATTAAGATCAGAACTTGTACTGCGGATCAGCTGCCAATGTCCTGACTAATTCCGAGGAGAGTGGCCATACAAAGTAGCCTTTGGAAAGACGAGGATGGTGTGCTAGGGTGCATGAGCTCTTAGCACAGATAGACTGCTTGAACGTCAGGCCTTTTGCTGGCACCAATAGCCCTTGAAAGGGCTACCCTTTCATATTGTCTCAGGTTACTGTACATTAAGGTTCTCATTGACGTCTTATAGTGACCTACTTTTGGCTCAAAATTCATATCTTTGGCTAATACTCCTGTTAATTGCATAGAGGTAAATTATCACCACTTTGTGCTTCAAAATTAACTCTTTAAGGACATGACTGTTGACATGTTCGGGGCCGTACGCGACAGCGAAAGCTGCATTTTGTGTGCACCCTCATTAAGCACAGACTACACACACATTATTCTTTGCGGTCTACGTAAAAACTTCGACACATCGAAAAAAAATCGACACATAAATATTCGACTCATGTTTAGGTTTTTATAAAGAATAAAAAGCTACATTTTTCTCATTTACAAGCTTCAGTATTACTGGGTTTTGGTTCAGAAGTCATTTCCATCTGTTTTAGTACCAGCTGGTCAACCTCAGTCCTTCCTTCAAACACCGTATAAGATTAAGACTGGAACACTGTTTTGTAGATGCTTATTTGATAATATGAAATTTTAATGCATCTTCAGTTTGTAGCAGCGTACGAAGATCTTTGTTAATCGAAGCAAATTAATGATGTCTAAGTATGTCTAGACTTTCGAAGCCATATTGTAACACCCTTTTCCGTTCGTTCAAAATCCTTACCGGTGTAAGTTAAGTGACCCTTTAGAACACTGACACCCGGTCATTATGCTATTAAAAATACAAATAATGACCACGCCTAATAACCCTTAAATATATGCAGGAAATTACAGAATATGTACACATCGTAACAATTTTACTAAATATTAATCTCATTAACTAATTAATTTAAAAATAAAATGGTATCATTAATTTTGAATATTATAAGGTATGCAGCGGCAGTTGACATATCGGCATCCTGATTGGTCATTTAGTGCTTGGGGAGGATCGGGCTCCGGAAGTACTTGGTATGTATATCTTTTCAAACGAAATAAGTAACTTACTTGTGATAATTGTTATCTGTGTCATTTAAAATAACGTGTATACGATGTAGATTTATACGATTTTCTTTTTTTTTTCTAGCGGATGTTATATAACTGCAATCATGGTTTTGTTCTGGCTATTTGTTACATATTTCTATTATATAACCTACTAAATGTCGCATATAAAAATAAACACCTAATTCATATCACTTTTCCATTCATTTAGGTTGACTGCCTTTGTGCTTAAAGTGTTTTCAATTGCATCTAACTACGTAGAAATAGATTCTAGTTTGATAACAGGGTCAGCAAATTTCCTGGTAAAAAAGTCAAAATCCCGACGGAAGTTTCCCTTT